CCTTCACTGTCCGCAGGGTCTCCTGGGGCTCGGGGTTGAGGCCGGGTAGAGGCATCTCTGCAAGTCACAGAAAGGCCCAGTGGATTAGTGTCCAGTGTGAAGGCCACTGGCCTGCACAGTTCTCCCCTCCCCCGCCGGCCCTGGAGCAGCACCACCCAGGTGACCCTCCCTCCAGGCTGCTCCAGGGACAGCAGGGTCTGGTGGCTCCGTGTTCCTTCCCCGTGACCCTCTTCCCTCCATCTCCGCCCTCTTGAGAGCACCATCGTGGGAGATCTGTGCTTCAGAGCTCAGCGGTGGCTGGCGGGTCCCTTTCCCTTCAGAAAGAATCGAAGCCACATAAGGAGTCCTGTCCACCCTCTGGGCTAGCCCCCAAGGTGTGATTTGCTCAGCCTGCTGGGCTCGCCCATCCAGGAAGCCCGACTGCCAGTCAGAACTGCTGATCTGCCCACTGAAGTCCTCATGCAGAACAGGCAGAACGGCCGGCCGGGTGCAGCCCCGCGGGGGAGGCAGGCCGGCTCCATCCCCAGGAGCCAGCCAGCTGGAGAGGAGGGCTGGCCATCTGCCCTTCCCCGCCACAGGAAAGGGACCATCTCTGGCAAGAGGGATCGGGAATGGCTCCCAGAGCAAACTCTTTGTCAGTTGGCAAAGACTTAGAACAAGAAAAAATCAAACTCAGTTTAGGGCAGAGGTCCTGCCAACCCGACTGCCCTGGATTATCTAGGAATCTGCCCCCCACAGAGCCCCCGCGGTTGGCCTCCACTCAGGCATGGTGGTCTGCCCCAGCGCAGGCAGCTAAGGGGCCCACGGGGCCTTTGCTCAGGAGCCAGGAGGGTCTGCAGAGGCTCCAGGTGGGAAGGAGGCAGGCCCATCTCAGGGCCTCCCTGTCTGCACCCCAGGGCAGCCGTTGTGAGTTGGTGCTTGGTTCTCCCAGGGATTTCCAAATGCCCCCGCCCTGCCATTCAGATCCCTGGGGAGGGGTGCAGGGAGCCAGCTGAGCTGCAGATGGCGAAAAGAGGGTGTCCCTGAACCAGAAGGCCCTCGGGAAGGACCTGCAGGGACCTCATTGGGGGAGGGCTTCCCCTCCAGAGCAATGTTCCAGCTCCACCCTCCTTGTCCCCGCTCCCTGCAGGCAGTGTGACCTGGCCGCCTGGCACAGAGCAGGACAGGCCTCAGCTGCTCTGAGTCACCCAGAGGAGGCCGTAGCCGAGAGTGGGCTCAGGCCGTGGGCGGGACGTCTGCCCTGTGGGGCCCAGTGGGGCTGACACATCCGCCAGAGGAAGTGTGGGGCCCAGCGCCTCGAGGTGCAAGGGGGTTCAGGCCCACCCCATAAACCTCCCACACCTGCCTGCACCCTCACAGCAGAGGAGTGGCACTCCCACCCAGTACCTGGTGCCCAGCACTGCCACCTCTGCCCTGCACTCCTGCCATGGAGCCCGCCTCTTACCACAAGACCCCGGGCCCCAAGCTGTGGGCAGCACCCACCTCGCTCCTCAGGCTGCACACCCTCTGCTTCTGCCAGGCGGTCTGGGAGGGAGGAAGAGAGGTCATCAGGACTCCAGACAGTGCCCTGTGGTCCCAGGCCATGTCCAGGCAGGGACCCTCTGGCCACCAGCACCCATGAGGGAGAGGTGAGGCTCAGGAGCCAGGAGTCCACGTCCCCCAGGACCTACAGACAGGGACAGAGCATGGTGGTCTGCCCCTGCCCTCCCCTGCCCACGCAGAACTCCAGCCTGCCCTCTGGACAGGGACCGTGGCCAAGGAGGGGTGCCCTGGCCCTGTGAGCTCCACTGGGGAGCAGGGTGGATGGAGCCACAGCAGCCCTAAGTCCCACAGGCTGGGGCGGAGCCACCCACTGTGGGCACGTCCCTGCTCAGACTGGGGCAGGCACCTCCTGGCCTCAGCTGCCACCTCCTTAGAAGGGGCTGACGCCCCCTGGCAGGGACCACAGCGGGCAGGGATGAAGACAGCTGTGACCACGGGCACGTGAGGGTGCCTGGACCTGACACGGCAGGCACCTGCTCCTGGGTGCCCGGCAGGGAGGGCACAGAGGTCACTGCGGTACCCCAGCCCAGAGCGTCTGCTCCCCGAGAAAGACAGCTCATGTTGGGGGCTGGAGCCCGGAGAGGCCAGGGTCAAGGGGCAGTCTGTTCAGGAGGACGTTCTTCTGCAGGCCTAGAAAGCTTCAACCTGATGTGGGCGGGAAGGTGTTTCGATGCCTATCATTGAGCAGGAAGAAAAATATGTGTAGAAACGTCTGTGTGCGTGTGCACATGCTACACACGAGTACGTGTGGGTGTACGTGCATGAGTGTGTTTATGTGTGCATACATGTGAGTGTGTACACGTGTGGTTGTGTGTGCACGGGGTGTGTGTGTGTATGTGAGTGTGAGTGTGTGCGTGGGTGTGCATGCCTCTGCTGGGCTCGGGCATCAGGGCCCACCAGTGGGCGTGCACGTGTCCCTGGCTCAGCCTCGCTCTCTTGGTGTGGACGGCTGGCTTCCTCCGCTGCACTGCACCTTGGGCCTCAGGGAGACGCTTTCCCACGCAGAGGTCTGTGGGGAGGTGGGGAGTGGCACTGCTCCATAGGTGGGCACCCCGGGTCCTGCCTGCCTCCCCAGCAGCCAGGCTGGGTAGCCCTCCACAGAGCTCCAGCTCCTTCTCCACAGGGGGTTGGCAAGGCTGGGCAGAGGCCGCCAGGGTGGGACCCCCTGGAGCTTGTCCCCCTAGAGCCCAGCCAAGCTCCGTGTCCCAGCCAAGGCCAAGGGTGCCCGTGCCTTGGGCTGGGGCCTGAGACCAGTGGGGAAAGGCTTCCTCATGACCTTGGCCACGGGGCCCCAGCACCTCCTGCGTCCCTAGCTCGTCACGCCTCTCTCTCTGTGCCTACCCCACATGCCCAGAGGCAGTGGACGTCTGTCACCTGCTCACCTTTGGGCACCCAGGGTTTGGCCTTCTCTGCCCACATGAAGCATGAGGAGTGGGCAGCTGGGGGCTGCTGGGAAAGGAGGGGGGAGCAGAAACACGTGCCCCCAAGGACTCACTGGGAGACCTACAAACCCAGTGCCAATAGGGTGGGGGACGGTGGCCTCAGCACTGGCCAGATGCCACCCGGTTCACCCAGTCCCAAGCCTTTCTCCACCGTGGGCACAGTCACCGTCCTTCCAGGAATCCACCCAGCACTCTCCCAGGTCCCCTGCAGGGACAGTCAGCCAGGCCCCACACCTACCCAGACTGTGCACGGAGCAGACCTCGGTGCCCGCCATCCTGCTCAGCAAGCGCTGGGCGGTGTCCTCCGAAAGGTGCCCCTCGCTGCTGAAGAACACCCTCTCTCCCTCGTCCAGGAAGACCACGCTCTCCAACCTGGGAGCCATGACGCAGGTGTCAATCAAACAGGAGGCCGCTGACCGGGGCTGCTCTGCAGGGCCCCAAGGACCCCACCAAAGGCCCGGCACAGCGGTTCTGCATCACCACGCTGGGACGGCTCCGCTGGCCTCTGAGGACACCAGCGAGAGAGGGCCATGTCTCAATGGGCCAGTTTTAGGGGCAGGGTGAGGACGAGGCCCCGCTGCCTTACCCCTTACAAAACAGTGACCTGCAGGGACCTGGTGCCAACTGGAAGGCTCTTCCGCTGCAGCGTGGTTCCCTAGTCCTACCTGACAACACCCGCCGCTGTCCCGCCCCTGCTGGACTCGGCCACCTGAGGTGTGACTCGTGGACACAGCCAACTGGATCTTCAGCTGAATTGGTTGTGATTGTGTCTTTTGACAGTGACATTTCACAGTCAGACCGTTTCTACTCCCTCATTTGAGACAGTCCCCACGCACGGCAGTGAAGACGGGGAGGCCAGCGCCAAACCACTGGGCCTGGGAAGGGGGCTCCCGGCAGCTTTCAAAGCCCCCTCCAATGTCCCCTGCAGCTGCTGTGCCAACCGTGCTCCTCACGCAGCCTCTGCAGGGTCCCACAGTGCTCAGCCAGGGACAGGGCTGGCGGGCGGCCACCAAGTCCCGGAGGGGGACAGGAAGGAGGCAGGAGCGGGGAGGTAGCTGCAGGACTAAACTGTAGGACATGGACCTCTGGGTATAGCTATTGGTCAGTCTCAGCGCCCAGCCCAGAACAGGGCCACCAAAAACGTGCCTCACCTGTGGGAGTGGAGGTGAGCCCACAGAGGGGACAGGACGGAAGCGGAGGACACTTTCCTCACACCCACATTCTCCAGGCTCTGAACTGGGCTCTAACAATGAGAGGCCAAGTCCAGGGAAGAGACCACAAGGACAGGCACAGCTGTGCCCACTGACCACTCCCCAAGGACCCTCACTGTTGCCAGGGCTGGGCAGCAGCGACACAGAATTGACCAGCATCTGTCCCTGGGAGTCCTTTGGCTGGGGTTGGGGGCTAGGGGACAGGAAGAGTGTCCCCAGGAAAAGCCATGACAGACAAGACTCAGAACCCGCGAGAACCAAGGAACCAGGAGCCAGCCTCCCCACAGCTGGGCTCCGGGGGACTCAAGGCAAGCGGTGGCCCTTGGAATGGGAGGCACCAGGGCTGTGAGGGGCCTCGAAGTCCATGGCTGAAACTTGAAAGGGGTTCATGGAGGGGAGTGACTTGGGGTGCTGAGTTAAGGAGTGACCCTCCAAACTCCAAACTCAAAGGAACCTTGGAAGGTGACGTTTTTGGAAATGAGGTCTTTGCAGATGTAACTGGCTAAGGTGGGACCCACTGGAGCGGAGGTGTAACATGACAGCAAGTGTCCTTCTTAGAGAAGACAGTCACAGACACAGGGGAGGAGGCCTTGTGGACACTGGGCGGGGCTGGAGGGACACAGCCACCAGCCAAGGGGCGCTGCTGGCAGCCGAAGCTTGGAGGGCATGAGGGTCCCGAGCTGGGGAGGCAGCCTGGGGCTGCCCGCACCTTGCTCTCTGCCCCTGGCTCCAGGCCTGAGGGCCAGCCGCCTGTGGGACAAGCACCAGGAGGTGTCGGGGCACGTCACCTCTCAGAGGATGCCCTCCTGGCAGCATCTTGGAGAGGTGCTGGGGCAGAGGCAATGGTGACCTGAGCCCCGCAAGGGGGAAGGAGCTGTCCAGGCCAGCATCCAGGTGGTCACCTGGGAAGCTCTGTGGAGGTGGTGGCAGGGTCCCCTGGGAGTGGTGGGGATCAGCCTAGGAAAGGGGGCCTCGTCCACTCACTCAGACACTGGGCCCTGCATGCTGATGTGGCTGGTCCGCACGAAGCCCACCTGGCCTGAGGCCACGTGCCGGCCCACGCACCAGGGCAGGCTGGGCACCTGGGCACCCAGGATCTCGATGAGGTCGCCGGCATGGAAGGACACCTCTTCAGGCCCTGAGCCCTGGAAGTCCGCCACCGCTGAGGCCTGGCCAAGCCCTGGGAAGGAGACCACATGGTCAGATCTGGGGCCGGTGGGCAGAGAGGCCTGGCCAAGCCCTGTGAAGGAGACCACGCAGTCAGAGCTGGTGCCGGTGGGCAGAGGCCGGGACTTCTGGCAGAAAATATGCCTTGCCCCTGGGGGAGGAGAAGGGAAGCTCGGGCCCTGCAGTGTGGGGCTGGACATCTAAGTGGACCCCAGAGAGGGGTGCTTTTATCCCTAAACCAAACATGGGAAACGGCGGCCATGACTCTCGCTCAGCCGGGGGGTCAGCCTCCAGGAGACTGTGACCTGTCCCTCCTGCCCCCAGGGCCTGTGTCCACGTAGCTGGCACAGAAGCCAAGCAAACACCAGCTGCTGGGCGCCAAGCAGAGAGTTCTGGTGCCCCTGAGCCCAGGAGCCGCAGGCAGCTTTTCACAAAGACCCAGGACAGGGCCAGGCTGAGCCTCGGGGTCTCCTTGGCACCCACAGCAGGTTCAGCCAGAGGCTGGCCACCTCCTCCCAGGTCTTCCAGGGCGTTGAGACCTGGGACAGCTCATTGAGGTGTCTGTGAGCCACCTCCCAGGCTCCTGGGGACGATGACAGATGCCAGCCACCTTCCCAGGGCTGTGAAGTTGGGATCAGCCCTGGGGTTCTCTGAGCCTCAGCCTTCATCTTGCAGAGAGGAGGGCACCACAGCCTTGTCCCTGGGCTTGGGGAGGGTTCAGGGCAAACACAGAAACTTCCAGAATGCTGGTGCCCATGACTCATGGGCTACCTCTCCCCCAGGAAAGAGAGGCCGGTGGAAACTTACCCATCAGTGAGCTGTCAGACGTCACAGGTCCACCCACGGAGTCGTCCATGGGGTCCCAGGGGGCCCTAAGGGCCCACCTAGAGTGGAGAGAGGAGGTCTGTGCCGTGGACCTCAGACTGGGGCAGACGCCTTCTGGGCAGGGGTCCAGCCCAGCAACCTGAGCAGATCCCTCACCTCCTGGTCACAGGTACCTGCTGGGGACGGTGGCACTACCCAGCCCAGGGTATGGGCAGCATCACTGCTTTGGACCCCTGCAGACCACCCCCCATAAGCACCTGCCCCCACTGCTTCCAGGAGCAGCTCAGTGCTGTGGGGCGGCAGGAGCCTGGCCTCCGGCCCTGACCCTACTGTCTGTCACCATGGGCCCGCACAAATGACCCTGTCCAGGCCTCTGCTCCTCAGACAGATGGCAAGAACACTGTAGTGGAGACTGACCGTCCTCCTTCTCCATCTAACCTCTGGAATCTGACCCTGGAGGATGGCCTATAGACGTGCTCTGTGTCACCTGCCAGGACCTCACTGGGCACAGCAAACAGGGGAGTTTCTTGGAGAAATTAGGAACTCCTCTGGTCTTCGTAGGAGACATGAGTGGCCACTGACTGCCACCCCACCATCGCTGTCAATCAGGAGGTTGAGTTTCTCTCTTTGCTTTGGCTTCTAGGAAGCTCCCAGCCTAGTCTATGAGCCATTCTGCAAGCCAGCAGGATCTTCTGGGTGACCGTCCTCACTAGCTTTACCTGCACTCAGTTTCTATGTGTGCAGATCTCCGTCTGCCTCCTTCCTGTGGGTGCAACTGTCCTGAGCCTCCCTGGCGGGCTTCTGAGTGGGCCTGATGAGGGCTGTGTGCTACACACTCCTGTGCCCTGAGGCCCAGACAGCCCTGCCAGGGAGAGCCCACGGGCCCCCTCGAGGCGCTGCCTGAGGCCCAGAGAGGAAGCAGCAGAAGAGGTGCCCACCTTGCCTGTCCTCCCACCCCACTGGGCAGTCGACCTGCCAGGCCCAGGGACCATCTGTGAGGCCCAGCACCACCCAGCACCACAGGGACGACAGAGAGTCCGGTACCTACTGATGGAACGGAATCAAGGGCTCCGGGGCAGCCGCTGCTGCTGCCGCCCCAGACGTGGTGGGAATGGGGCTTGAAGAGTCCGCTTCCAGGGCCACGTCCCCCAGGGAGTGCCCCGAAGCCTTCCTGAGGACCTGGGGGCCCTTCCCCACACTCTGGCGGCCCGTCGTCAGTCTCACATGGTGGTCAGGACACAGGACAAAGAAAGGCCCTTTGAAAGGAAAAAGGTGGTCATCCAGGTGGCTGGACCGGGCAGCTGAAACTCTGCCAGCAGGACCACCCACCCCTATAGGACCCACAGTGAAGGCAGCCCGCGGGGAGGCCCCATCAGCTGCTTCAGCCCCAGGAACTAGAGGACTGGCTCTGGAGGCCCAAGGAGCCCAGACAGGAGGCCAGCACCCGGGGTGGGCCCCAGCTCTGCCTCCACTGGCCTCTGAGGCCTGCTCAAACTCAGACTCTCTCTGGGCCTCAGTGTCCTCCCTGTACCACGAAGGCCAGATGGGTGGTCCCCAGCACTTCCTGCTTGGACGGCCACTGGGAGTCCAGCCCTGGCCAGGCAGCTCAGGCTGAGAGCCGTGGAGAAGGCCGTTTTACCTTCCCTCCTCTAGAATTGGGCCTCGAAGCCCAGCGAGAATCAGGGCTGGAGGTGGGGACACCAGACAGCCTCTTCTGCCACTTCCCAGACACCTCATCTCCCCGGGGGCCAGCCAGGGTCTTTGCTGCCCTGGCCCGCTTACTGCCAGGGTGTGCCAGTGGGCGCCAGGGGGCGCCAGGTAGCCACCACCTGGAGCAGACCTCCTGGCTCCAGAGCTGCCTCCTGCCACAGCCCCAGACCAAGGTCACTGTCGCCACGCACGGCACCCACCTTCCTGGGCCAGCAGGCTCTGGTGGGTCCGCCTCAAGGCGTCCTCCTCCACGTGCACCTGGATGGCCGTCTCCTCCTCCTCGCCTGGCCAGAGCAGCCAGAAGGCCCGGTCCACAAGCAGGTTTTCCAAGCAGTGATGTGTGAAGCCTGCAAGGCCAGGTCTGGTCACCCGCAGGCTCTGGAAGGGGCAGGGAAGGCCCCAGCGTGGGCCACCTGCCCTGGGAGCCTACCTGTGCACGGTCCACTGGTCTGACCATCCTGGCTACCAGTGGCTGTGTCCAGACCCTCACCCACCCACCACCACCATGGTCAAGGTAAGGGCCTCTGTGTGCCTCTGCGTTTGCATTCTTAAGTCAGAGGTTACAGGGCCACGTTGACCATCAATAGGATGGACACACAACAGGCCAGGGAGCCCTGGCCTGGCGCTACTGGCCCATGTTATCTGTTTCCATGGAGACAGTGCTTTGCCATCAGGGTGCTTGTGACACCCCCACGCCTGGCCAGCAGGCAGCGCCAGCCTGGCTCCCCATTAGGGCCACAGCAGATAGCGAGCAAGTCTTTCATTACTCTAGCTGAAGGTGGACATTCGAGGACAGGGCCAGAGGACGCTGCCTTCTGAGCACCACAGTACCCACGGCTGTCCTGCAGGGAGGACTGAGGACAAACTGGCTCCTCTGAGAACCCAGGAGACAGGACAGTGCATCAAGTCCTGCCAAGGGTTCCAACAAGGGGTCTCCTCCTCCAGCTTCTCGGCCCTCAAACGGAGGTGGGCTCACAGGCTCCCCTAGCTGGGCCCCACCCCAGGCTGCTGGCCCCCTGTCTGGGCTCCTTGGGCCTCCAGAGCCAGTGGGAGCCCAGCTCCCGCCCCGCAGAGGTAAGGACCAAGCCGTAGGGAAGGGACCCGGGAGCTCAGGCACCACAGCCCCCAGCAAGACTGTCCACCTCGGCGTAGCCAGCACAGCCCAGCACAGCGCCTCCCCACCCCCAGAACAAGGTGGACTCTGGGCCCTCCCTGATTTTCTGGAGAGGCCGCTGTGAAGCGACCTATTCTCCAGCCCCGATTGGTGCCATGGACACAGGGTGAGTTACGGGTCCTCTGAGGGGGCCCTGGGGTCAGCCCTGGGAGGGTGGCCGCTTTACCAAGAGC